TGATCAATCTCTTTTGTTATATGTGCATCCTGTGCTGATTGCTACGTTTGAAGCCAGTGATACTAGGTTTAAATCCCGAAATGAACATCAACTCTGGAGTGCATTTACGTCCAAATGAAACTATAAAGATCAGAGGAAAACTAAAATTTATCATTTATGAGATTCAAACTGGAAAGCTGCTTGTAGACCACAAATCACTTTAAAAGTTAATTCCAATTTTTTAGAAATATTTCTGAAAATCGTTACGTGTATGACTATCTACAAACGAAGTTTAGCACAAAATCAATGCATCCAAAAGTTATTTTCATACTATCCAACGGGTGACTGAACTGATCTAATTACAGAATACAAGAAGCTAATTTATGACCTGATATATCTTCTTCTCATTTACAACAATACTACTCACAAGTTACATGAGATAAGTTTAACAGCTAAGAACAAACCGTATCCCTGTTTAACTTACTATCGCAAAAATAAATACATTTAATCCATTAAAATAAAATTCAAGTAAATTATCTTGGAAGAATCTATTCAGTATACAGAACTACTGTATATACATTTATAGATATTATCTTTTACGTTAGTTACTCAATTCAATATTCTTCTGTAAACGTATCATTAATTATTAGTGATCTAATCCTGCAATAGGACGAAACCGCCGTCCAGTTCTTCTAGGTTTTCAATGATGGTCTAACATTAATCAGTTCAAGAACTCAATCAATAACTTGATAATCTCCTCAACTCTATATTGATAATAAATATAAACCTGGTTTATGAACCATTTAAGTGACTTTTGATAATATGGAATTCATTTTATTATAATTTTGCTTAAATCATTACAACTACTAATGTTCTTTGATTTTAGCTGATAGATTACATATCACTGGGTTCTCTTTGTTTGAAATTCTAGATAATTCAGTAATCTTCAATGTAAATTGTAGAATAGTTTTATGTTTATATTCTAAAATCATGTATTAGAATAACTTAACAATCTAAAATCTATATTTATGTAATGTTACTGGAGTTTACAATTGAATTCAGTGACATATTTTAACTTAAGAATGTGTACTTACTAAAAGTACTCCTGTAATTTAAGAAAAAAAAAATTATACACAATGATTCATTTAAGATTATCAGTATCTGGTTGTGGAGTTCTAATGAGAAACCTTGACCAGTGGAGCAAATCCATGTTGAGTAGAGACAAGTATCTACATCAGTACAATGGAAGATGGTCGCGCAATTTAGTGGATTGGTTAAGGTTAAACACTAACACCGTTGGATGTAGACTCAGTGGTCCAGTAGGTTAGGCGTTCGCGAGCGAGACCGAAGGCCCTGAGTTCGAATCCCACGGGCGGGATAGTGGATGCGCACTTCTGAGGAGTCCCGCGATGGGACGAAACGGCCGTTCATTGCTTCCAGGTATTCAACGGTGGTCTAACATCAGTCGATTCATGATCTCAATGGTTTAAGATTTACAAATAGATATCAATAATTCATCCACTAAACTTATTTCTTAATAAAATCTATTCAGTAAAATAACAGCGATGTTTACGTGATCTCGAAGGTGACTACCTACTTCTAGGATTAAATGAGTGTTACAAATTGGTATGAAGAAATGGGATTCAGTGCTAAAAGTTAGAGTTTCACCATGAATTGACATTGACTATAATGCCAACAAGCTATTCATCCATATGGATGGATGAATTTCGCGCTAAAATTCAATGACCTGCTATCTTAAAACCGGTTGGTTTGTCCATAAATTATATTTTCGCCAGATATTCCTTAATAAACTTATTTCATTATTTGAAAACATTAAAATTTTATGCATTTGGTTTAAGATTTGCGTTGATGATATCCTTATTATTCAAATGATCGTGTTGAAAACACTATCTAATTGCTTGATAAACTGGATTTAACCAATATTCACTGTTTAAACAATTATCTAAACTAATGTTTATGATTTAGTTTACGGAACTTTATACCATATTGTTATTTTGGCGAACAATTTTGACAGTATATACATATATTTGGTTACTTTGTTGATCTGAGCTTCCAACCACATGATATATGGCATTGAGCTATGGCATAGTTCTACTCCTATACAATTATCTTGTAAGAGTCTGCGGTTACCTAACACGTATCTGATTCTGAGTTTGTTAAGTTTTATGTCCTTGTAAGTTTTCTACTATGGTAAGTTAAAAGAAAATTAAGCAGTATCAGTTCAAAAATTACCACCCACTATCAAGGAGAATAAGCATAGTTTATTTCAAACATCATACAAAAAGCTTCCATGTACTACTAAATGCCTAATAAAGGGAAAATGGTCTTACAGAGTATTATATCTTAGCCCATTTCATTTCGTTTTCATTGTTTCTTCAAGGAGGTAAAACTTTATCCCCTACTAAGCTACTATTGATTAGTCTGCCCGATTGAGGGTGATCAGAGAGAGCTTTAACATCTATTTATGTGTATACAAATTTAATAGTCTAATCAAGAAAGTAAAACCGATGAAGGACAATTCTATTGTTTCAATAATTCATTTAACTTGATAAACGTTTACAAACCTATGCTTGTGGATAAAGTCAAACTGATAAGATTAATTCTTGTTTATTAGGATAAAATGGGTTGTAGCAAAAATGTACATTGTAGAAATTAAAGTTGAACACCGAAAAGCTACTCTATATCTAATATATAATGATTCTGTTATATCCCGATGAGAATTATGAATGGTGACTCTTGAGAACTATTTATGGATCAATACGATTCATATATTTTTATTGTATATTTACTAAGTAGCTAAACTATGCATATTCATGTTCCCCTTATTAAAAGCTTTATTTTGACCCATAGACTATTATTTACCGTTCTTAAGTTATACTCAGTCTATTCATTACCGTCTCCCACTTTCACAGCCACTTTTGGCTAGATCTAGTACAAATGGTATTTTTTATTTTATGGTACGATGTGGTCTGTTTGGTTTGTATATAAACCAAGTATGTTTGAAATATATGATTGATATCACGAAGGCTGATATTGGTGTTCTGGACTCTAATAGGCAAAGTGAAGGACCGATAAGGACTCTAGACTGCTCGTATGGGTTTTATGCGTCATTGATCCGGTCGATATTTCACTGTTTTCTAATTAGCGGTGTCATTACGTAATATATTAATAGGGCACAAGACCAGAAGTTATAACAAATTGTAAATAAATTCTTCGGTAATCAATTGTCAAAGTTAGTAATACTTTAGCCGTTCTTTTACTACCACTCAGAATTTTCAGTTTGTTCTTATTTTTAAAGTTTTACCTAAGTAAATCTAAACTTCACCCCCATTGCACACGCAAGTGGCTATCAGAACTCAGTAGCTAAGTGGATAACGTGATAGCGTTTGACGTGAATGGTACCAGGTTCAAGTCCCAGAGTGAACATTAACTTTGGGATGCAGTTACATCCAGCTGACGAGTCCCAAATAGGACGAATTGACGCGTATCCTGGACTCTACTACCAGCTATTATCCATCTTTGTTTATAATGCCTGTGGATTAAGGCAATATAGATGCACTACGCATAGTATGCACATTTGCAAACAAGAGACTGATAAATTGCAGTCCTAAATATCAATGAGAAGGTTCAAGTAAACAATAATAAGTGAATTTGTTTGTTTTATTTCGTTCTCAAACAAAAGTTTTCCAAGTTTATATTATTTTGTAATATATATAGTTGAATCGCTAAAGAATAATCTAAGAGGGAATTCTATACTTATGTTAATTGATCGTCGAAATAATCCATAATTCTCTCTCCTGAAATGCCCTGGTACAGTCAAAGGTGGGGAGAGTAATCTCTCCTTCTCTCTTTCCAAACGCTTTCACATGGCTACACGTATACAACCACTATCAGAGAATTCTTATTCACTGCCTTCTTATGACGGAGGTGATGTTTTATATATTGCAAAACTTTAAAGTTTATTCAACAAAATAAAAAAAAGTAATTAGTATCTGTATCTGAAGCGGTTTTGTGGAGATTGTAGTAATTTCATTAGTTCAGATGATGAGTCGATTGAAGCTAGACCACCATGAAAAACCTTAAAGCACTAAACGTTCGTTTCGTCTTATTATGGGGCTCCTCAGCAGTGCACATCCACGATCCCGCCTCTCAGGATTCAAACCCAGGACCTGGCAGTCTCGCGCGCCAGCGCTTAACCACTAAACCACTAAGCTGGCCAGTATCAAACGGTGTTAATATCTAACTTCAACTAATCCACGAAATCGACCAACACATCCATCATTTTTTTGATTGAAATCATGAACCGATTGATGTTAGACCACCGTTGAATACCTGGAAGCAATGGACGGCCGTTTCGTCCTATTGCGGGCATCCTCAGGAGTGCGCATCCACGATCCCACTCGTGGGATTCGAACCCAGTGCCTTCGGTCTCGTTCGCGAACTCCTAACCCACTGGACCTCTGAGTTGGCATCCAATGGTGTTAGTGTCTAACATCAACCAATCTACGAGATTGCGCGACCATCTTCCATTGTATTAATTTAGACACTTGTCTCTACTCAACATGGATTTGCTCCACTGATCACGGCTTTTCACTAGAACTTCGAGAATTCCTTCACGAATCTAGTCACTAGTGAACACATTTTGATTACTAGTATAGGGGGTGTAGAGAGACAGGTATCTACCTCAGTACAATGAAAGTTGGTCGCGCAATTTCGTGGATTGGTTGATGTTAGACACTATCACTATTGGATGCCAGTGCTTCCATGTTTCCAAAGGTGGTGTAACATCAATCGGTTCATGATCTCAATAAAAAAAACTTAATAATCTCCACACCCCCTATAATAGACATCCATCATTGTCATCAGTATATTTACTTATATAATCTAATCTTATTTTATATTTTAGATTATTTTCAATTGGATGAAGATTTGTAACCAAGGCAACTGTAAACACCACCACCACCAACTATCCTACTCAATTCAATATTTATCTTTATTAAATGTATCGTCGATTATTTAAAAGAAAACATGATTTATCACCACGTATAATATATCCAAGTACATTAATGCAATATGATAAACATAATACTACTACTATACATTATAAATCTGCATTGAATTATATTAAAACAACTAAATATACATTATTAACATTTATACCATATAATTTATGGGAACAATTACATCGTTTTGCTAATATTTATTTTATATTTATATTAATATTAAATTTTATACCAGAAATTGATGCATTCGCTAAAGAGATAGCACCAATCCCAGTATTAATTACATTAATTATAGTTGCTATTAAAGATGCCTATGAAGATTTTAGAAGATATTTATCAGATCGTAAAGTCAATAAAAACCATGTGAAGTTTATTCAGTGTAAGTTATATATATATTCTAATTAATTTAATGATTGATCAATTTGTTTAATATATATATGATGGTGCACATGGGCTCCAGTATCCTGCGGGAACAAAAGACGTATGAACCAATTGTTGGTCACCGGCTTCCATGGGACTGCATCTCCTTACGTTGCTCCACTGCCTTGTGGACCAGAACTTCAGGTCGAAGGCTCCGAGTATGGCCCCCTAAGATAACCACCTGCTTCGGTTTGGGTACCCGAGCAGTATCACAGCCCTCACACATATCGAATGAGATTTGTGTGGCGCATATGTATTTGGTACCAATATTTTGTACCAATATCTATGTGTTAAAATAATAATAATAATATATAATGATCTATTTATATCAGAAGAAGGTTCCAGGTGTTCCATGGAGATCTAGCATCAATTGACTCATGATCTTAACAATTGATCTATTTATAGTTTAGATTACATCGAGTTATGAATTGAATTATATTGAAAGTATTATGTACAGTATATATATGATCCTTAAATATTCTGGCATAGCCGAGAAGGTGGAGAGTTAACTCTTACTCTTTAAAATGCTCTCATATGATCATATGTATAAAACTATTGATAGGGAAGTCCTACTCATTGGTAAAATTAAGATGTACCGAACGCTTTGAGTCAGTCAATCGAAACTAAGAGAGATTCCCAATTATTTTAATCAATGTTTCAAGTACAGTAATCGATAACGTGTATGTTACTATTCATCAAATGGAAATTGGCAACATTCGATTTCTAAAATGTTTGGAAACAATGAAAATGTCTAATACGCAACGATAATGAATGTTATATGATGACACAATATCTCCTAAAACAGATCGTAAGTCAAGGTACTTAACAGAATTTATTGCACAATCAAGTGTAGCCTCCGAAATGTCGTGGTATGGTCGAGGGTGGGGAGAGTCCACTCTCCTTCCTCCAAACGCTCTCATCACATGGCCACACGTATACAGCCACTGACAGGAAATTCCTACTCACTGTCTTCTCGTGGTGGGGGTGTTGTTTGAGAAATTGAGAGGACAAAAAGCGAATGTCTGGTGCTTTAACCAGGTTGGTTGACACGGAGAGTCCACCTATGTGAGTTGGAAAACTCTGATTCCAAACCAATGATACACATGGACTCGAGTATCCTGAAACATCAAATGGAGTATGAACCAATCGATGGTCACCGACTACCATGGGACTGCATCTCCTAAGATTGTTCCACTGACTTGTAGATCAGACCTTTAGATTGAAAGTTTTATATGTGGAATCCGAAGAAAACCACCTAGTTCGGTCTGGGTACCCGAGTAGTATCCCAGCCCTCACACAAATCGAATGACGAAGTGTGGCATATATCAATTTGATGCTTCCTTCTACTAACATTTGTGTTCAAATAAATAATAAAATAAATAACAAGTGTTTAGTTACTCTCACCCAAAATCTTAACGTCGAGTTTCTCAAGTTTGTAAATAGGATAATGGCAAGTCATCGCTTTATAATCCTGAATTAGAATATTAGCTCAACTCTTAATGTATACGTATATATTCTGATTAGTTGATAAGTTGATCAAAATCATCAGTATGTTATACTATTACTGAACCATTAAAGTTCATCACATTAATAAAAGAAAGTACAATCAGTGGTGTAGACAACAACAACAACAAAATTCATTACATATTTTCTCTCTTCAAAAACTCTTAAACATTGTAGTGTGTTGTCGTTATTTATCCAAATGATTGTAGTACATAAACTGACTAACAAAATTTAATCTATATGAAATACTAGAAAGAGTAAATTATATATTCGTAATATTCAAATCAGTAAAAAAAAATTAGATATTCTGATGTTTCATCACTTAGTACAAGGAAGCACCAAAGAATTAATATTGATTATTTGTTCTTTGAAGAAGTCAGTCAGTCAGTCAATAACAATGCAGAACTTCGTACGTACGTATATCAGTTCGAGTTGCCGTACCACATTAGCACAAAGATGTAGTTGTCAATTTAAATCCCGTAATGATAGAGGTAGTTAGAGTATAAACAGTAATCAGAAGAAATGGCTTACACTGAGTGACGAAATGTCAGAAAATCTAATATTTCTACTCATTGGGATATCTACAAATATACTTATTTATAACAATCTATCCAGTGCTCAATTTATTTGAAGTTATCAAGTGAAACCTTAGTAATGATGCCCAGAAAGAGTAAAGTTTATAATGACTAGATAGTTTGAATTCTAAAGAGTGTAGATTCTTATGGATTAACCCCACAACAAATTAACATAAGTATAGAATTTCCTCTTAGATTATTCTTTAACCATTCAACAATAAATAAAATCAGGCTTATAAAACATAATAAACTTCAAAAAACTTTTGTTTGAGAAGGAAATAAAACAAACACATTGATTTGGTGTTGTTTACTTGAATCTTTCCACTCATGTTTAGAAATATAATTGATCAGTCTCTCATTGGCATATACGCATTACATTTATTTATTTGAACACATAAATATTAGTAGAAGGAAGCATCAAATTGATATACGCCACACTTCGTCATTCGATTTGTGTGAGGGCTGGGATACTACTCGGGTACCCAGACCGAACTAGGTGGTTTTCTTCGGATTCCACATATAAAACTTTCAATCTAAAGGTCTGATCTACAAGTCAGTGGAACAATCTTAGGAGATGCAGTCCCATGGTAGCCGGTGACCATCGATTGGTTCATACTCCATTTGATGTTTCAGGATACTCGAGTCCATGTGTATCATTGGTTTGGAATCAGAGTTTTCCAACTCACATAGGTGGACTCTCCGTGTCAACCAACCTGGTTAAAGCACCAGACATTCGCTTTTTGTCCTCTCAATTTCTCAAACAACACCCCCACCACGAGAAGACAGTGAGTAGGAATTTCCTGTCAGTGGCTGTATACGTGTGGCCATGTGATGAGAGCGTTTGGAGGAAGGAGAGTGGACTCTCCCCACCCTCGACCATACCACGACATTTCGGAGGCTACACTTGATTGTGCAATAAATTCTGTTAAGTACCTTGACTTACGATCTGTTTTAGGAGATATTGTGTCATCATATAACATTCATTATCGTTGCGTATTAGACATTTTCATTGTTTCCAAACATTTTAGAAATCGAATGTTGCCAATTTTCATTTGATGAATAGTAACATACACGTTATCGATTACTGTACTTGAAACATTGATTAAAATAATTGGGAATCTCTCTTAGTTTCGATTGATTGAGTCAAAGCCTTCAGTGTATCTTACTTTTACCGGTGGTTCTTGTTTTCTAAGAGATATTAGACTATTCAAGATTGGAGATGGATGTTGCTAATTAGTGAAACCATATATAAAACATAAATTCAAATGTTATGTTTGAAATTTAAAAGTTTTGAAGAAATCATTTTGAAGACAATTTATAATTTTGTTCCGTCATCTTTAATTTTAATTAAAATCCACTTAGAACCGTAAATGTCTTTTGTATTAGCTTTTTTAAATTCTTCTATTGATATTGACGTCTGAAATGGTTTTTCGAGTCGTGGAGTAAACATCAACTCTGGGATTCAGGTACTTCCAGCCTGCGAGTTCCAACTTGGTCGAAACGCTCGTCCTGGGTTCCACTTCTAGCAACCATCCATCTCTTCTGATACAGTTGTCCTTGTTTGATCATGTCGCAACAGATTTTTGGTGACAAATATCATATCTACAGAACGCCTTATATTTGAGTTCCTTCCCGGCTGACACTCATCAGCAAGGCAGATCTATATTCTTGCGTGTGATGCACTCGGTGTGTTTAGAACCCCTATAATAGCCAGAAACTTAACCAGTAGGTTATCCAACGTACAACCATTCTCTTCCACAGTAGGTTGTTGCTGACAATTGTTTGAGTTCCATATGCTCTTCAACTATGATGAAATGTTACTCGAGTTTCTGTCAGATGTTGCTCTGGATATCATAAATAGGGTATAAAAATTTAATTTTAATTTCATCTAAATCATTAATCTTATTCCAGAATTATTTTTTCATCATTAGCTGTCGAAGTAACTGGTAGGATGAAGGTATATCATGTAAGCATTATTTTATGAAATATTAACATCAGACATTAAAATGCTGAACTTTATGACTGATGTTTCACAGGAAAATAGAATTGTAACTCAGGTGGATGAGTTAAGTGTAGTTTTGGGCAACTCTAATTTATGGACGAGTCAATCAGAGGTGTTTGAGAACTTTCAAGGTCACGGCGCCAATTTTAGCTCCTAATGCTAACGTACGATCGGTTCACAGGGGATTTTGTACAAAACGTGATAATTGATCGGCTATAACAAATAAAACGGCGAGACTATACTTTGTGGACGAATCCATCAGGTATGAGAGAACAGATCTCACATTTCGGTGTGAAAGCCTTCCATCCTTTTGGCTAAATAAATTTCTGGCATTATAACTGATGTCAGTTCGTGATGAGAACTACATATATAATTCCTAACTAATGCGAATTATGACAATTATTGTAAACTGGATAATAAAAGCACCAGTAACACTGGCTGCAGCCAGGTACTACAAATATATACGGATGTTTGGAGAGTGTACAGACTCCTACATAGGCTTGGTTATGTGCATCGTGTCGTTATCCACAAGTAGTATTTTGTGCACTCAACAACCGGAGTGCACACAAACAGTGTTGAAGCTATGTGGTCGAGGCTGAAAGAGTTTTTGAAACTTTATCATGGATCCAGAGGCCGACTATTCTGTACCCATATGGACGATTTCCTCTACTTCATGCATTACGATTTTAGAACCTCTGAACCTCTTTCTAACCTTGACTAGTTTTTGAACCATGTATAGGAAATGTATCCACTTTATTTCTTTGGTTTTGTATGATATATTTTTGCTCTATACTGACTGTTTGCTGATTGACTGATATTTCTCAAGGTCGCTTAGGATTCCTTCAAAGGTCGTCCATAACTTATAGTCTCGCCAAGTTT